TTCGAGACCGTTCCGAGAGATGATCGCTCGTCCAAAAATCAGCCGAAACGAGTGGAAACCGGCCGAGAGAGGAGCCTTTGAAGTTGGGAATTTCGCACTCTTGTCCTGCCCAGGCCGCGGCCGCCGCGGGCCACGCGCTGGCGATCCGGACCAAGGCGCTCGGGCCCGCGCACCCGGCGCTCGGCCGCGCGGCCAAGCTCCACGCGGCGCTCCTCGGCGCGGCCGGCCGCCACGCATTGAGCGCCGCCGCGTACCGCGCCGCCGCGGCGAGCTACGTCCGCCGCGGCGACGCGTGGAAGGCGCGGCGGAGCCTCGCGCGCGCGCGCGCGCGCGACGTCGCCGCGGCCCTCGCGCCGAGGCGCCGCGACGGTGCGCGCCGCGGGGGGTAAGCGCCCTGGAGCCCTGGAGCCGGTGAGGCCTCCGGTTCGGGTCCCGTCGCCCGGGGGCTGTGTCGCACACACCGGATGCGCTCAGAGAGAGCAATCGCTTGAGCCGCCTCGCACGCTTGCGCCCCCGGGTGTCGATATCCGCAGAGCGTGGGCGAAGCGCTGACACCGTGTTCCCGTCGCTCGCCGCCGGCCCCCGCCCCGCCCCGCCGGCCCCCGCCCCGAGCGATGTCGATGGGCGTGGTCAACCACAACAAAGGGCCCTTTGTCAAAGCCGAAGAGCAAGCCCGCGAAAAAAGCGGGCGCTTCGCCGCCGCCCCCCCGCCCCTCGCGGCCGGGGACGGCGACGCGAGCGCGACGCAGAGGAGCTGGTTGCCTCCGAACGCCGCGGCTGACTGGCGACACACCCATACGGAATCCGCGAAACGGTGGGCGGCCGCGGTCGCGGCCGACGACGCGCTCCCGCGGTGGAAGCCGCGCTTCATCTGCTACGACAAGAAAAACAAAAAACGGCCCTGGTACGTGCGCAACGCCGCCGACGGCAACAAGCAGGTCGCCTGCGACTCCGCGCGCGCCGCGCTCGACTACGTCCGCGACCGGTCCGGAGCCGGGTCCGACATATCTTTTCGCGCGCGCGCGCGCGAGCCGCGCGCGCGCAGGTGGCCCGACGCCGTCGCCGAGGCCTACGCGCGCGAGGCCGCCCCGGACGTCACCTTCGCCTTCGGCGCGCGGACGCGGGACGGCGGCCGCGTCGAGTGCCGCGAAGTGCCCGGCCGCCTCCGCGGCGCCGTCGCGGCCGCCGACGGCCGCGCGGCGCGGTGCCCCGAGGCCGACGTCGCCTACGTGAACGCGTCCGGCCGCGTCGACCGCGAGCGCACGTCCGCGCACCGGCGCCGCGTGACGGCCGAGGTGCGGCTCCTCCGCGACTACGAGCGCGCCGCCGCGCCGCCTGGCTCCTCCGCGCCGTCGCGCTACGACGTGCGGCGCCTCGGCGACGCCGCCTGGCGGTCCTTCGACTCGCCCGAGGACGCGATCCGCGGCTTCCCGTGCGCACATCGACCACCGGTTTGGGACTTTTTCGAAACATGTGCTCGAGCCCGGTCGCGTCGACGCCGTTTCGGCCGATGTTCGGACGAGTCGTCGTCTCTCGGCGCGCGCTTTCGCGGAGCGTGTGGGCGCTCACGCGTCGAGCGCGCGTCCATCGACGTCGGGTGAACGATTCGAATGCGGCGCAGGCGGCTTCCCCGGGCTGACGCGCGAGGCCTGCGCGGACCTCGTCGACGCCTGCGTGGAAATCAAACAGTGAGCTGGGTTATCCCAACCACACCTCAGAACTCTCCATCTCGATCACATCGAAGTCGATTCGGCTGATTTTTGGACGAATCGATCGCTCTCGTCGAGGTCTCGAAGCAGAGCCGAAGAGTACGGCGGGCACATTGAAGTCGGGTTGAAGATTTGTGATTTCCACGCAGGTCGACGCCGTCGTCGACGGCGCGCGGTCCGTCCTCTTCGACGTCCGCGACCGGGCCCCGGAGGAGCCGGCCGCGGCCGCGGCGCGCGTCGAAGCGGCCGCGGCGCCGGAGCCGGCGCCGCGCGCGTGCCCGGCCGCTCCGCCGATAGACTCGGGGGACGCGATCGCGGCCGCGGCCGCGGCCCCGGTTCCGGTTCCGGCCCCGGTCCCGGCCCCGGCCCCGGTGCCGGCCCCGGTGCCGGCCGCGGCGCCCCGGTGGCGATCTGGTGGCCCCGGTGGCGGGGGGTCCTACGCGGCGACTCAGCCGTGGCGCGCGCCGCCGACGGCGCTCCGCTACTACGTCTGCGGCGCGTGCCAGGGCCAGCACGTGCGCCACTACTGCCGCGACGTCCGCCAGGGCCCCTGGAAGCGCGTGACGCTGCGGCTCGGCGGCGAGCGGCGCCTCTTCAACGTCCGGGGGCGCCCGCAGGGCCGCAAGCGCGCGGCCGACGGCGAGGGCGCGGCCCGCTGGGCGAGCAAGCGCGCGCGCGGCGCCCGGACGGACGCGACGCCGCCGCCGCCCGCGCCCCGCGCGGCGCCGCCGGCGACGCACGCGGCGGCGCCGGCGCCCGGCGCGCCCGGCGCCGCGGCGCCGGCGGAC